CTTTTTTCTTTACTTTGTTCTTTTTTCCTTTCCCTTCCCTTCCCTTCTTTATCCTGCCTTCCGCCAGTACGTATTTAGCACTGCTAGTTGCTAGTTCCTGTGCAGAAACTGAGTGTAAACCAGAAATGGTCTCTGCTTTCCTGGAGCAGGTGGCCTGAGTGAACAGAGACTAATGAAATAATTACACAGATAAACACATCGAATGATGAAAGGGCTACAGAAGGAGGGTCGGGTGCAGAGTGCTTAGGACATGCATATTCATCACACGGTACCCAATTAAGAGCGGAAGTGTGCTTGGATGCTGCTGCGGATAACGGGCGATGGTGGTCATCTCAAAGAAGGCACCATCTCTCTGCTGTTTTAATGCCACACGAATGACTGAATGCTTCTTAGGAAAACTCCAATTTCCAACCTCGTTTTCATTAATCCCAAGAGTTGTATCAAGGTAACATCACTTGATCTTTAATACCATAATTAGATGCCATAATTTCAGTCAGTTTTATCCCCAGCATAGTTGAAGACAACCAAAACTTTCCACCCCAGAGGCAAGGAAAGCAACTGTTTTGTTCATAATATGGGTGGAGAAATAAAATGATCTGGCTTAATTCTGATGTCTTTCCTCCTTGGAAAATACATAGACTCTATAAGTAAATGTATGTAAATGTTATTATGTTAATATTGCAAATGGGGACTCACGAGAGAGCTTTATTTATTTATTTTTTTAGTCTTCTTTACAGATCCCATAAAGAGGGAGCAGAGAGCCTGCAAAACAACCCACCAGAGGCCTTCTGTCTCATCACCAGCCTTGGCTCCTTGCTGTTTGTCAGGCAGACCCTGAACCTACAGTTCACTATGGTGTCTGTAATTCAGATTGCGCTGCCTAAAATCTGAATAGTCACAGTGAAAAAGAATATGAAAATGAATATATGTATATTCATGTATGACTGAAAAATTGCACTGTACACCAGACATTGACACAACATTGTAAACTGACTGTAACTCAATAAAAAAAAAATCTAAATAGTTCTGACTGAGACTGAAGTCTCCCTCTGAAGTGTCCATGAGGAGAATTTTGCTGAGTAGATAAATATTGTGAAGTAAATTCCTGTGGGGTGGAGCAAGAGATATTTAAACAATCTTTGTGAGTGATTTCCAAGCATTTTAGCAGTGCCCAGTTATATTCAAACAACTGTGGAAATTAGAAACCATTCTTTTATTTCTAAAACAAATCTCCTATGGAAACGTGAAAAATACTTTGTTTAAATTTCTCTTCAAACAGGGTGGATAGAAAGCTTGACGTTTAAAAGAAAAAAAGGTTTAGATTTCTGACCTAGCACTAATATTTCTGTCTTACTGTAACTCACACAGTGTGGGACATGAGTGATTAACACGGTGTCCCAATCTGCGGTTGCCACCGAGGTATTTAATGATCTCTGCATGATTCAATGATCATGGCTCTCCTGCCTCTGCACAATGAGGACGCTCATCTTTCACCCAGGGCTTCAAGAGAGAAATAAGCCTTTCAGGAAAATGGAGTCTTTCACACCACGCCAACCCCAAAACACCACAATTCATAAAGAATCAACTTTACCAAGACTCAGGTCACAAACATTGCAGTATCACAGAGCTGAAGGCAGCCACTGTCAAGAGATCACTGGAGAGGAGAAAAAAAATTCTTTACCAAATTCAACTAACTGATGTTCAGTGTTTAAAGGCTTTGTTTTGAGTGAAGGTTTAACATACCCTAAGCCTTAGTAACAGTGCCTTTGACTCAAGGAGCAAGACATACTCGCATCAACTCAGAATACTACGGTGCACCCAGGAAAACACACAGCCTGGATCAAACTGGCCCCTTAGCCCCACTAGGCAGGATCATTGCCAGGCCCTTCTAACAGGTGAAGCGGGGACAAATTTCAGGACCTTTTGCCTTTAACCAGGTGGCTTACACTGCATATAGTCATTTCCTGCTCTCCCCTCTAAAAAACTTGTTGACTTTTTAAGTCTTAGTTTAACAAAATAAAAGATCCTTCCGATTTAGCTGAACTTGACAACTCCATGTTCACATTAGAGGTAAGATCTCGGTGTGTGGACACCCAGTAAGAAGACCCTTGACAAACTGGCCCAGTTTCCACTTGGACGTCCAACCACTTGTAATGGCCCCTATTGCATTGGTATGGTGGTCAATAGTTTTCACAAACCATTCAAAGGAAGAAAGTATTAGAATTTCTACTTGTATTTCTATAAATAGTTTGTACATTTTCTGATGTTCATTTTAGAACAACAGAGCAAGTTGTGTTATGAATAAATAAGAGTAATTGGGATGCACGTTGAAATGTGTTTAGTGCCAGACTGCTGTATGTGAGAAGATTTTTTTTAATTTTTGGGGGGGCAGGTAATTAAGTTTTCCGTATTTATTTATTCCTAGAGGAGGTACTGGGGATTGAACCCAGGACCTTATGGGTGCTAAGCAGGCACTCTACCACTTGAACTATGCCCTGCTTCCAAGAAGATTCTTAAAGCAGGATTATGTCTTACTTTGCCTAGCTAAGTTGTCTGGAAATAGAAGACCATCAATAAACATACACTGAATAAATGAATGACTAAAGTAACAAGTGAGCATGGCCATGAAGTTTGTATTCCTGGACTCTGTATTAGCCTGCTTCCATCAATTAAGCACAAAACTTCAGGACCTGATCATAAAGGGACAACAACTTCAGTGATACCAGTCTTCGCTCTACTTCCATACAGGAGACAAGGCCTGACCTCAGCAACCTCTCATCAGATTCCGTTGGAGGTGGCTCTGACACCTGCTAAGGAATGCTGGCTGGCCCTTCTCATTTGCAGGCTCACCATGGCAGACAACCCTGAACCTTGTCATTAGTAAGGTAAGTAAGTCCTGAATAAGCAGAATTCAGTTTCTGGAGAAAGTTTTAGCCCCCTGAAAAGGAAGGCAGCTGTCTGATGGAGGCTGAGAAAATCGTGTTTAGTCCAAAGCATCCTCCTCTTCCCCTGCCCCCATCCCCACCCTCAACCTGGACTTTCTGCCTTGTTCTGGCTTTGCTGTGATGCCCACAGCAACAAAGCCTGGCTTTTGCTTTCTTAACTCCCCTCCTGCTTTGATCCTCCCTCTTCACCTGGGAGAGACCTTCCAGAACACCGCTCTGCAGAGGTATAAAAGGGTGAGGATAGTATTCAGGTGTTGGTATGAAAAGATCATCAATAAATGTTCTATAACAAAAAGCGAAACACAGAATGTTGTGTATGGTCTATGGAGAAAATATATATTAAAAAGAAACACTGAAACAATAAACTAGAATATTAAATGGTTACGTGAAATTACTGAGGGGGAAACAAAACCACGACTTTTCTGTGTATACATTATATATTGTTTTTACCATTTAATTCCATAGATACGTTAACTTTTCAAGAAAATTAAGTCAGAAAAACAAAACACCTCAAATTGAAACAAATGAGCCTAACTATATATCAAATTGGTAATAGCAAAAAGATTTCATCCAAAGGATTGAAAATACAGTATTTTGACTGTGAATACTTAATACAATATTGGATATTCTAAGGGAAAAAAGCCATACCAAAAAGAAAAAAGAAAAGAAAAGAAAAGGGAAAAAAATCCACTATGTCATAAAACTGGCATTAGTATCCTCAGACCTTTTTAAATGTTTATTAAAACAAGTTATTAATGACGTTTTATGAATCAAAACATTCAGTGTAAAACAAAAAATACACGTATAAAATAAGAAGACGTGAATACACTCTGACGTTTACATATTAACTTAAATTAGAAATATGAGCTTATGACTTCTTAAATATACATTTAAAGACCCTGAAAAGCCCTAGAAGAAATGTATTAACAGCAATTAACATCCCTCATGCCCAGGAAATATATTCAAGATCTTGTAGTAGCTCATGGTGAAAAAGAATATGAAAATGAATATATGTATGTTCATGTATGACTGAAGCATTGTGCTGTACACCAGACTATAACTGTTAAAAAAAAAATCCCTCATGCCCAGGTTGTGGCCTCTATAACGATTCTCCATGAGAAGAAACCAAGGCTCCCTGGAGAAATGATTGATTCCAGTCTAAGCGAGAAAGGGAGCAAGGGGAACCCAGGACCTCTTGTGCCAGAAAGGTGCCTGCAAAGATGGATGGGACTGTGTCAAACACCCACAAGCCAGTGTGGAGAAGCCACACTGGTCAAAGTTGTGACAATTTCGACCTCGAAAAGAGTAATGAGTTTAGTGGACTGAAACAGATTGAATCAATGAAAAACCAATGAGTACATGATGATACTATGAAAAAAAAAGAAAGTCATAGAAATCTCACTGGTCACCATGGGAGGTAAGTATTAACACTACTCCTGCCTTTGAAAATTGGGAAATAAAGGAAAACAGTTGACCATTTAGCTTGCTTTTCTGGTAGGAACTGGGTTTCAGAGTAATAAATTAGCCCACTTTTGTGGGAGAAAGTTCTTCTTCACAGAGAAGTGTCAGCTAACAAATGAAGGAGTGGTGGAATTTTTAAAATTTTAGAAACTATGATTAAATTAACTGCTTGAGGAAAGGATTGCCAACCGATGTCAAAACTGGAAGGTGAATGGTTTGTACAGTAATACAGTCACATAGTTCAAAGTCATACTATACAGAAGACTTTCTCATCCCAAGAGAAAAAAAAAACAACATAATTCTACAATGGAAGGACTGAATCAACTTTACTAAACTTATTCCAGAGGCCGATGTTAGTCTTACTAATGACAGGTCAACCAAATATTATGCATCTTCCGGAAAACTACAAACTTATATATCGAAAATCAACTAAAAGCCAGAAATGTTTAACTTGAATTCATGAAGCCTTTTGACTTAGTTTCCAGCATATAGGAAATATGTGAGCTATATGACACCACAAGCCAGACAAATCCCAAAGGTAGTTCATTCTACAGGGCAAATGACCTGTTCTCTTCAACAGACCAGTGTCACGGGTCAGAAGGGCCATCATCAAAAAGTCTACAAATAATAAATGCTGGAGAGTCTGTGAGTAAAAGGGAACCTTCCTGCACTGTGGGCTGTAACATCATAGAAATGTTTCAAAAAGAGAGCTAATAAAGGAGACAGAAGGAACATTCTGGAGCAGGGGAATATCATGATGGATGGTGCTTGATGGATGGACGTGTCTGCTCTCATCCTTCAAGGAGCCCTTTTTGGCCACTGGGTCCTGTGTGGGGGCGTCTGAAAAAGAAGCCAGCTGCGTTTGGAAGTTCACAGGTGAAACAGAGGCTCTCAGCATGTAAGTTTTCCCTTCCTTTCAAGTTCCCTGTGACCACTGCTGCCCCTTGTGGGTTCTCCCTTGGCTTCTGTCTGACACTCCTCCCCTCTGCCACCGTTCTTGACCCCCATCTCCTTGGCAGGCTCGGCACAGACACTGGGCTTGGAGAGATTGGATGCATGTTCCCCTGTCCTCAGCAAGTCACTCTTCTCCATTATGGGAGTGCTTTGAGGACAAAGGTCATCACTCACCTTGCTTAGTTTCTGTTGTAAAGTTCAGCACAAAATGATTTACTGACTAGCTATTCATAAAATAGTTCCTGACTGCAAGATGAACTGCCTCTGTTACTGTGACTTCCTAAGGCAATAAACATACCAGCCAGTAAAGGAGATTGGATGGTTATCTCCAAATGTTTTTGACTAGATACTCCCCTCAGTCCAAAAAAAGTATTATGTATATATTTGAGCAACGTCTTGTAACTGAGCAGGACCCTGTGGGGACTTCCAGGGTCAGACCCCATCCACATCCCCACCCCCCTGCTGTAGCTCCTCTATGAAGTACCCAGACAATAGTGTGTCATGTATATTTCTTGAGTTTCTCAGATGCTAAAAGCCACCGCCGAAGGGAAGAAATTAACTACTTGATCGAGAGCACGTGGCCCCCAGACCTTCAGGCACCTGGGGGTCACGCTCTGTGACCTCAACATCAACCAATCAGAGAATTGTGCACAAGCTGATCACGTACCCTGTGACCCTCCTCCCTTACCTGGCTTTTAAATGTGCTTTGCTGAAACCCTTTGGGGAGTTCAGGGTTTTTTGGGGCATGAGCCACCCCGCCATCCTTCTCTGCTCCAAACTGATGTTTCAGTTTGTTTGGCCTCTTGATGCAGGGGGCACCTAAACTTGCCTTTGGTAACAGTTTCTTGACATATGCATATTTCTTTATGAATTGTATACATGTTAGGTACCACCATGCTAACATAATACATCTACATTTCTTCCTATTTTTAGATGATAGATTATTTTATTTCTGCACCCTCTGGAAAATACTGGACTAAACTAGCATTCCTTTTGCCACCTTTACTCCTCTCTGCCCTCCTTCCCGAATCCACATAGACAAGTATAAAATTCTCATAAAAAGGAAAGAAGATACAAGAATATCACCACCCCCCTCCCCCGAGTTAAAGGCAGTTTCCCCGCCTCCTCCCTCTCTGCCCCCTATGTCTGGAGGAAACATCACCAGACGGACCCACCGACACACACCCAGACCTCTTCGATCTGGAATGTAAGCCAAGGAAACACAGCTTTGCTCCCCACCACATGAGTAATACCAGCCACGATGCCACTTCTAAACGACTCCAGACACTCTCTTCACGTTGCCAGAGAGAAAATAACTTTGAGCTCATATCATTTCAGCAGAAAGCTAACTCGTAATTTTCATCTGGATGGAATAAGGAAGAATTATCAGGGCTTGTCTGTTACCCATGCAGGAAAGACAGGCGTAGAAACATCCTCTCTGTCAAATTGAACGGCCGCATGGTTTAGCGCCCTCAGACTCTGGTTTAACATCAAGCTGTCTTGGGCTTTAAATGAAATGTCAAATATAATTTGGCTCTGGATTCCCCGAGATATATGATTGCCCTTGGAGAAAATTTGATAACTCAGTGCTCTGGTGTCAAATGTGTGTCTACCTGATAGGGTGCTCTGTAAAGCTGCCCTCCACCACATAAAAACCGTCAGCCACCTTGATGGGCCAGGCTCCATCCCTGGCTTTAACAGGCATGAGACATCACAAAAAGAAAATTTTATGTCCATGAGTCAAAGGCCACTGTTCAGAGTTCTCTCTTGGAATCTAATCTGCACAGAATACGAAATCCCAGTATTCAAACACAGAGACTTGCAAAGTCTTAAGACACAATCAGTCATGCCCATGACAAGATATTGCCGCTTGTCACACACAGTCCCTTCCTTTCAGCGTCTTTCTGAATCCCTCATTTCACTGCCCCTCGCTTGGCATTACTTTTCTGAATTTGTGGGAGAATCAGACTCAGTCCCAAAACCCAACTAAAAAAAAAAGTAAAGAAGAAAATACATAGCTGCCTGCTTCTTGAAGGCAAAACAAACTTACGGCTCAAACTCAGAAGGGCTGAGGGGCTGGTATTCACTAGGCTGCTGTTGGACCATGTGGATAATTAGTGAATGCAATCAAAAGACCCACAGTGTGGTCCGAAGTGATTTTTGAAAACTAACACGGTAGGTAAAGGAATCTGACAGCCTTAATCTTGAGTATGCATAAACATTTTGGTGGAGTGTGTCTGTGGGAGGGGCAGTGAACCATCCTCTTACAGACATACGACTGCTCCTTACTGAGCATTTGAAATGAGCCTGGCTGTTACACTCCATCATCTGTAGCCCTCAGACCCAGACCCACAAAGAAAGGTGCTGTGGTTTGAATTGCATCCTCCCCCCAAAAAAACATGTGTTGAAGTCCTACCCCCAGTATCTCGGAATGTGATTTTATTTGGAAATAGAGTCTTTACAGAGACCGTCGAGTTAACATGAGGTTATCGAGGGCAAGCCCTAATCCAACAGGACTAGTGCCTTCATAAAAAGACACAGAGACAGACAGGCACAGAAGGAAGACGCTGTACAGATACAGGGAAGCTGCCGCGTGAGGATGAGGGATGGGAGTGATGCATTTACCAGACAAGGAAGCCCTGGGGACACCAGAAGCCGAGAGAGAGGCAGGGAGCAGGGCCCTCTCTAGTGTCTTCAGAGGAAACAGGCCCTACAAACATGATGATTTCAGATTTTCAGCCTCCAGGACTGTGAGGTGATGAATGTCTATTGTTCCGAGTTG